CTGACAGAGGATTTTAATCCAGAATATTTAAAGAACTCACAAAACAAAGAATCGAGAAAGCAAATAACCCAATTAAAAGATGTGCCAAGGATCTGAACATATAGTTCTCAAAAGAAGAAATAAAGATGGCTAGGAAGCATCTTAAAAGGTGTTCAACATCATTAGTAATTAGGCAAATGCAAATTAAAACTACTTTAAGATTTCATCTTAGCCCAGTCAGACTGGCTAAGATCAAGAGAACAAATGATACCAAATGTTGGAGAGGATGTGGGGAAAGGGGAACACTCATCCACTGCTGGTGGGGCTGCAAACTGGTTCAACCCCTATGGGGAAAACAGTGTGGAGAACTTTTAAAAAACTACAAATGAACCTACCATTTGAGCCAGCTATACCACTCCTTGACATATTCCATGCATTCTATCAGACCACAATGCAATAAAGCTTACAATCAACACCAGAAGAAGCCCTAATCGCCACAATATTTTCACAATAGCTAAGAAATGGAAGCAACCTAAGTGTCCCTCATTTGACTAGTGGATAATGAAAATGTGGTTCATTTATATGATGGAGTTTTACTCAGCAGTAAAGAAAGATGAAATCATGAAATTTGCAGGTAAATGGATAGAACCAGAAACTGCTATACTAAGTAACACAGACTCAGAAAAAAAATTGACATATGTTCTCCCTCATATGTGGATCCTACAACCAAACCCTGATAAGTATGTATCCAGACATAACTACAGGAACCAGTAATAGACAGAAAAACTGAGAAAGCCTAAGGAAGTGATGAAGGTCTGTGTAGGTTTGTTATGATATTTAAAGGATGAGACAAAAATAATATACACATAATCTTAAATTTTCTAAAGTCATAATTTAGTCAACTAGTCAAAGGAACAAAATACATATCTACTAAAGGTTTATCTGAGAACATTTAGTTTTTTATCCAAGCTTTACCTACATAGCACATGGCAATAAGTACCAGACTGGTGGAACTAACCTTATTGGATGTTTAATAGCCATAATTTGAGGCCTATACTAATCTGGTCAGAGGGACTTAAAGGACAGTTTTTGCTCCTTGCCCTCCTAGGTAGACTAGTTCCAGGGGACTATGAGCATCTCTCAAAATGTCCTGTAATTGTGGTGGGTCACCTGTACTCTTGATCAAGGAGGCTGAGGAGACCCCAGTAGATGGACTTGGACCAGTGTCCAGTCTATAAAGAGGAGGGTTAACACAGAGGAATCATTTCCTCCATGCTTCCAAGCAAAGCCAGCCATGGTCGAGCAGGACCTTTGACTTATCTTCACATAGGCGGAACTAAAAGAAAGGAGCCAGGGGCTCCTCCCAAGCCCATGTGACCCCTGAGGAACAGATCCACAAATGATCCTAAGAGTAAAAATAGATTGGTTTATCTGGCTCAACTGTGTGGCCTTAAACACCCAAAAGGAAAGTATAACCAAAGATTAAAGGGGCCAATATAATTTCTTAAGAGTTCATATGCATAGCTAAAGGCTACATAACAAGCAACAATGCCAGATAGGAGATTCCTTCTTTTGAGTTGTTGGCCAAGGTGGCCAAAGGGACCCCCAGATAGTAACCCCCCATAGAACTGGGAAAATGAACAGCAGACCCCAATCTTATCTAAAGGAATACTGACAACTGATTGCTGCTAGATGAGGAACAGCTGACCTTCCTAAAACAAAGACCTCTAGATAGGCTGACTAGATTCACCAGAAGGGCAAGTAGTGGGGATTGGCTGGGGGTACTGACAACACAGCAGACAGTAGCAGGGATATCAGAGTATAAGGACTCTAGTCTGGGGAGGGAGGCTATGGGAGGGTGCCATCTGAGA